CTTGCTACTTTCAATATCCAGTTGGGCTGAGACCGTCGTGAGCGCCGTAAGTGCTAGTGCAGTATATCTGGAATTCTGAAAGGCCTTTAATCGACGGAACCACCATATCCTCCTTCACAGGCTGCAGTGTTGTGGAATTGTTAAACCAAGCCTCGGTTGGATAGGCAACTTCTTGCTTCAACAACACCTGAATGTAAGAGTTCGCGGTGTCATCTATGACCCAGTCGACGTTAAGTGCGGAGTGCCCCAGGGCTCAGTACTTGGTCCACGACTATTCCTGATTTACATAAACGATCTCGCGACAGTGATCACCTCCAACTCCTTACTCTTCGCTGATGATCTCAAGATATGGCGAGCCATTAGAACAACCAGCGACAATGCAGCACTTCAGGATGATCTTGACAGGGTCTACGAATGGTCGACTCAGAACCTGCTTCAGTTCAACGCTACAAAGTGCAAGGTGTTGAGCATACGCCATAAAGCCACTTGCGAATACAGACTGGGGGATCAAATATTGCAGCGCACTTCAACGGAATGCGATCTAGGCGTGATAGTGCAGGAAGATCTGGGCTGTTCCCGTCAGGCCGAGAAAGCCTCCAAAAATGCTAACCAACACCTTGGCCTTTTGCGGAGGGCATTCGGGCGCTTCGATCCTTCCATCTTTTCTCAGATGCTCAACGCCTACATTCGGCCTCATTCTGAGTACGCCATCCACGCCTGGCAGCCATGGCAAAAGCAAGACCTTACCGCTCTTGAACTGCCACAACGAAGGGCGACCAAGAACGTAAAGGGCCTGTTTCATCTCCCTTACCGATTGAGGCTGAAACCCTCGGGGTCTACAGTGGACAATATCGACGCCTGCGTGGCGACTTGATAATGACTTATATGATCCTGAGGAATCCAAACCATTCTTGTCGTCACCTACTAAAGCTGAATAGCAATACCACACTCAGAGGACACCAGCTAAAGCTGGCCACACAATACAGCCGGTTGGAATGCCGCCGGAATTTCTTTTCCCTTCGTGTGTGCCAACACTGGAACGCTCTTCCCACATACGTTGTTTCTTCCCCCACGCTAACGGTATTCAAAAGACGTCTGGATGATTCGCTTATCCACCTACATTACGCTATATAATCAGTAAGGTCTACGTCAAGGAAACGCGAACAAACGGTGCTCATTCTCTTTTTTTTGCCTTACTACTTACACGCTGCAGCTATGCAATATCGTTTGAATATACTACAAAGGCATTCATCAATTACATCAGTCCAAGAGAGCGGCGCACGAATAAGCCTTATCGTTTCTTTTGTTCTTAATACATACCTTCCCCATATTACTTTCCCACATTACTCTATAGTAACCATTCAATACGCACTCTAACATAATTTAATGAAGCAGGGCATCTGAATAGCTAGACTCTTAAATTGACGATTTACACTTATGTTTACTTTCACTTCATCTATCCTGTAATATATCATTGTTCATTGTTCCTTTGCATATCAGATTATTCTACGTTTCAAGGCAGATGTGACTTATGGGAATTAAGCAGACACTGGAAACGTCTACTGAAGGTACTGATTTGGCGGGGCAAGGGTTTTAAGAAACTTCAGGCAGACCTAGTTAATTCACTGTGTACTGTTTTCTCAGAGAGACTGTAATTTCTCACCACAGCTGCTGGGGTGATGGAGCGTTATACCTATGGTGTTTGCAGCCACTAAGCCAAACTACAGGCGTAGTGCGTTCGCAGTATCCACAGCAGTTTTCATTAAGTCACTGGCCGTATTGAGTGGTGGTTTTGCATAGTTAACCTTGCTTTTGTCCTTCACATACCAGTATATCAATTTATCGTTTCTCACGAACTTGAGTACCATTGTCTTCGTCCATTTGTATTTGTCGGCTCTAATAAGTGACCTGCAGTCACTTTTGCTTGTTTTTTTTTATTCTACCATATGGCATCAGGTGGGCTTAGGGGTTTTTTGCCTCTAAATCTCTTCTCTTCTGTTGATTCATTACCACGTTCTGCTTCGGATCAAGGTGTTGGTCAGAGCGATGCCCTTTATGGTGTAATTATTGAGTTGCATGTATGATTCAGACAATTTTGCTTTTTTAATTTATTCCATGCATTGTTTGCCCAACTTTGCAGCTGGAGGTTTCAGTCGACGGTTGTCGCTAGGTTGTGAAGGTTGGAATGGTCAGTAAGAGTTCACCGAGTTTCTCTTGCTTTGTCAACAATACTGACATAACACAAAACCAAAAGCTAAGAATGAGTAATCCCTGTTACCTGGTGTAGGGTCGTATGAAACTAACTAAACCATCAGTTGAATGCTACCAAACACGCTTACTTCAGCGTTGGCATACTGGTGCCGCACATTCCATGCAACTAGTAAATTTATAACACACTTTTTTGGCCGAAGGAATCTATGCTGCTCGGGAGCAGGCACGTTGCAATTTTCCGGCTAGGACAATATCTTATAGATCACGATGGAACCCTTGACTTTGGACGGCACTGCGAAAACTGACATTGTGCGAGAGACTGAAAGTTCGGTCGTCTCTTCATTTCTAGCTTGAAGTGCTTAATCCACAATTTCAGATGCTAGGAACCTGGTTCCGATTTAGGTGCCACTGTGAGGTCTGTACCTGGGATGCCGCTTCTACTCCCAGTGCATTCTTAGGTGAATACTTTTCACTTCAGGGGCAGTTGATGCGGGGAGACATCAACTTCCTTAATATAGCTATAACTGCAAAAGAGATTTAACTGAGCCCCGGAGGTGGGGCAGCAATGTTATGATGATCAACTGATGCTAAATCTACTGATGTGGGAAAATGTTGCTACCTCAGAACATGTGCTGGCTCTGAATCCCTTCTGGGCTGACCATCGTTGTCTGGTTTAACGGCTAACATGTTCATGTTTAATCACGACACATATACATATGTCCAGAAGTCATATTTTGTAGAAACTTCCCCATTCAGTTAGACATTTTTATAATGCTTCAGTATAACATAGGCTTCACGAAGCAGTCAGATAAAGCACAGAAACTGTCAACCAGCATATTTCAGTCGGGTGCACGATATTTTAGGGGGTTAAGCCTTTCGTCATTACACTGACAACAATCTCAACGTGCAACCCTAGTTAGAAGGCTCCAAGCAAACGTAGCGTCCCTTGCTACCATCGAGACTGCACAGTGAAGTGCATCAAAAGATTTTAAGGGTATCTTATATACACCTTACCAATTTCAGATACATTTCTAACAGTATATATTGGTTGTTATAACTGCCTGCTTTGGAACCTCATAATGACCAACCACATTTTGAAAACCTCGAACTGTACTTGATGCCACCTCATGCAACACAGTGTTAACACCAACCGGAGACGCATTTACCACCCTAGAGAGCCAGCTGGACAATCTTCTTAACTACATTCCTTTAGTGTTTCAGCTATGGAAGGCCGTAATCAATTTACCACTTATGCCGGTTTTGGTTCTCTTCAAAATAAGAATAAAACAATTATTTTAACTACAAACAATTTTACACCGCTTCGCTTAAGTTATTACTAAATTTATTAGAACAACTTGCAAAGTGCTGCATTCAAAAGCAATAAAGGTGCTATTATGCACTAGCATACGTTTAAAGCAAGGGCATATTTATACTTAATAATACTATTACAAACCAATCTGCACGAAAAGAACTTGTGGATTTTCTATCATATCATGGCCTGACTGTTGCAAAAATTGCGAATATTGTGTGACTTTTCTGATCCAATGCATTTGCTTTCCACTGTTTTATACTTATATTGAGAAACTGTATTTTCCGGTTGATGAGAAACACCAGCATGAGATATGACCCCTCAGTCTTTTCTCTATCGTGTGAAAAGCTATGTACCCTGTCGGGACGTCCTAGTCAGGGAGGAAGAACTCAGTAAAGACTTCGTATAAAGAAAGGCGAGGTTGTTCGGATAATACTTGTAATAATCAGCTTCGTTCCACTAGAGAACAAGCAAACACTTGTAGACTTTAACTAGTCTTTCAGGACGAATTTACTTTAGTGGTTTTCTAGCTTTTTTGCTCTCGTACCATAAAGCCATCCCCGTGTGAGCGGTTACCGTCGGAGCTTTATGGAGAAAAGTATAACATCAATAGACAGAGTAGCATAACTTGATGCACACGGCAACCACATGATGTTCGGGATCTAGTTACCTATCTGGATAGTTACTGTACTGAAGATGGGCAAGTGTTGTGTTGTTGCTTTGCTGCTCACGCTTTTGTTAGTAACCGAATCGGACACTTGACCAAACCTCCCACGAAAGAACACAAAGTGATGCTGGACGTTTCGCACAGCGCAAACAAGTTCATATGGTGCTTTTATGGAACTCTTATTCGGGGCTGGATCATCGCACAATACAAGGTACTCACGATGTCCTTATCTGTGTTTATGATCTCGCAGCTCAATGGTTAAAATGGAAAAGTGCCGCTCATTACTACGCTCTAAGGATTATAGCATCCAATGAGAATTTGACACTTTTGGGTAGTAAGAATGTGCGTGAAATGTCTAAAATGCTACTACCAAAACGAAACGCAAACCATTCGTAGTTTGAAATAGCATATCTTGCAAGTCAATCTCATAAGCCAAGCAAGTATCCCTTAACTCAAATTTTAAATGTTAGAAATTGGTTTCTGAAAGGCAATGAGATTGGACTTTCAACACCGGCCTGTTTTTTGCTTGTGGTCCAATGTTTTGACAGAGTACATGTTCTACCTTTACCGTTATGCAATTGATTCAAGCTGCTGTCGTTTAAGCTTACGACCCTCTAATTATTTCAGTTTTCGCACCCAGGTAATAAAGCTTATAAAACTGCTAACCGTTTCACATTTCATTCCAATGGATAGCTATGCATTTATGCTAACTATGGTCCATTCGGGATTGTATAGAAAAGAACAAATAGCAGTTCCCTCCTCATGACTTGATTATAAAACGTCAGTTATACAGAGATCCAAAATTCCTCTTACCTAAAATATCCGCCAGGCTTTGCAATAAAACGGAACTGCTGGCCAGGCCACCATCGACTACAATTTCCCTGGGACGAAGCAATGTGGCATCGGACTTCGAATCCCTCTGCGACGGTGTCACCACACTCAGAACGTCGTACGTTTGATAGACTGAAGAGCGAAGTGCCGCGTAGATCAAGTCACCGCATTCCACATCGGCAGTCAGCCCGCTGATTGTGCCGCGTGCGGTCTCTTGCCACCAGGGACATAGAAGACCACTGAAAGCAGGAACCAAGTAGCAAGGCTCCGCCATTGCCTGCTTGTGCTTTCTGTACGACGTTTGAGCCAGTGTCTCAGCTTCATCATAATTGCTGAAAATTTTCAGCGCTTTCTTCAACCAATCGAGTGTTGCCCCGGCAAACGAAACAGAACCCTGTGCGAACAAACACAGATTTTGGTCGATAAAGATACAGAAGCTTTTTACTGCACCAATTTTATACTAAGATACCTGTATATTGGATTAAAGGTTACAAGAAACACGATCTGGTTGGTGATTTTTGCGTAAATTGTCTTCTGAGTGAAAGAGTTTTCCATAACGAAAACAAATGATAAAGTGTAAGCAACCATCTTTGCAACTATTCAACCTGGCTGATTTCGCCAAATAGTTTCAACTGTTGTCAAGTACATGCTACCTGAAGTGCTTTTTTCAAACAAGCATTCCTGAGTATTTCAGATCATATGTAATAAGCGTGGCTCATGTGGTCAGCTGCCAAGAGAATGCAACACAAGCATCTTCAAATCATAAGACTGAAGGTAGAGATTGATAATCAACTCTTCAAAACCGACCACTTGCAATCATTAGCGCAACAAGAGTAGGTGTGCTTATTTTCGCGATCTTGGTATATCAACTATGTGGGTTAATTACACACAAATTCCTAACTTCCAAACCGCTACCCAGCACCGTGTTCTAGTAGGATACGTCAGTTTCGCTAAGTTAGAGCTCACATACGTCAAGCGAACGTACCCGCCCAGAAAGTGAACGGAGAGTTCGATCCCTCACGAAACTGCATAAGATACAAATTTGTTCCCCGGAGGGAATAACAGAAAGCGGTGAGCCACACACAAACTATTGTTTTCCATTACTTCTTCAGGCCCATACAGTAATAAGCATAGATGCACTCTTAGGTTTCATTCGTTAGTGAACAAAAGGAGACAACTGATTACCCATTTAAACTTATCGAAGTACCAAGTGGCTTATCATGTGACTGAAGACTCGTGATAATGCTGGTTAGGTCCGCATCTTCCACATCCAATGGTGGGCCATGGTAATTCCAACGGCTGCACTAGTTTCTTTTGCACGCATAGGTCCTATTTCGTTAACCTTATGCATATCGCCTCTGCGGTAGCAAGCTACATCGTTCTCAGTCCATGGCTGTATATTGTTGGTTTCTTGTAGAGGATCTTGAAACACGTTTGCACTCGATAACCAGTGTTGAAAAGCTGTCCCATTATAGATCTGCGAGATGTCCTATCTTTGTGATTTCTGAGCCAACTCTGGAAACGTTCCTTGATTCTCTGGTCTAAGTGTCTGGTGGAAGGTCCAATGTACCTGGACCCATAAGAACAGGTGAGCCGGACAATTACCATTGATGGGGGATGACCGGGCACTTGTTCTTTAAATCTTAGTGGTTTACTAGTGGATACTACATTTAAGTGGGTTGTATTACAAGTCCTTTTGCAGCTTTGTGTCAATCTACGCATGAAGATGTCTGCGGCATTTTTTTCTTTCTAGGCTCGAATCAGAAACACTTGCTTCTTTTCGCCCGCCTGGGTTCGTAGTTTAAGACTCGTCTACTTCATGTGAGTGTCGATGAAGCACTCCGTATAACCGTACTGGAAGAGTGCTCCTTTGATTCGTTTGAGTTCTCCTTCACTGATCTCGTCACTGCGGATTTTGTATGCGCGGTCAGTCAAGGTGCGCACCAATGTCCTCTTGCGGCCCAAAGGAACGAAGCTATGAAAATTCGTGCGCTAGCCTGTCCAGTAAGGCATCCTGGATACTTTCTTCTGGATCCACCCGTCCTTTATTCTGTTCAGCCTTACGTCCGACAAATTCATCTGATCACTAATTTCCCCTTCAGTTGTGAAAGCAGCATTGAAATCGGCTTTGTTGCAACCATCGATTATGCCCAGCAAATGGTTTCACTATAGCTCATGCAGAATATATCATCGATATTTTGTCTATAGTAGTTTGAACTAGAGAGGATCGGTCTTACTGGACCATCCATTTGCATTCCCATGTAGATATCTGTTGGCAGCGGACCAAGAGGTGATCCCATTGCCATACCGTCGACTTCTCTGTACACCTCGTTAGCGCATAGGTATTGTAGGTCAGAGCTACATCTGAGTAACAGTGGTTTTAATTGTTTTTTTAATAAACCTATGTTTACTCCTTCCCCTTGCTGGTCAATTTGCCCCCACAGGAAATGCACGGTCTCTATCAGAGGTACATTAGTAAACAGAGACAACGTCTAGGGAAAACATTCGGTAGTCCCAGATGCTCACACTTATAATTTCTTCGACAAATTGACACTTGCCATTCAGAACTTGAGTCGCAATCATTTGTCGGATGAGGTGCAGTATTTTGGTCAACCACCGTGCGATGTTGTGATAAAGCGAATTCCTCATATCTAATATGGTTCTCAGTGGTGTGCCTGGTATATTTATTTTGAGAAGGCCATAAAGGCGGGGAATGGTGGAGCCCCTAGGTCTCAGTTGTTCAGGTAAATATATCTGAATTCCCGTTCAAATGCATCTCTTCTCATAACGTTCACCTTCAGACTCCCACGTGTCAACGCAAATCAAGCCATCTTAAGCAGCATTCTTTACTCAAGGATGCAGTTGCAAAATAGCCGTTGCAAAGTGTTTCAGCATCGGTACAGCGAAATACCCACAGATGATTTGCGCAACGCAGCTAACGAGGAGGCAAATAGGGGTCTATCATTCCCTTACCTTATGGCTCACAGAGTTTGTGAGCCATAAGCATTTACGGCTGGCTTGCCGAACTAACTCCTCGTGATGCTAGCTGGATGGTTCGGGTGTACCTCGTTTCAGCAAAGTGTTCGGCGACGATGTTCCACCTCCGTGCGGCATTGTATTCCAGCAATCGTGCTGATTTCATGGGGAGCATTAGGTCCCTGTTTGGTGATCTGCCAAACAAAGAGGCATAAACTGAACATTCAGTGAGCTCCTCCCAATGAGCGCGATTTCCTAAATGCGCCTCGCTGCCTTGCAGGTAGGTTATTTATCCAAAAGCTCGGGTGGAGTCCCCTAAGACAACCCCCTACTTTGGCTTGGGCAACCGGGTGGTATCACGCCCTCACACAAAACATGGAATATACTAGAACGGGCTCATTAGCTGCTGTTTCTGTTTTTCACACTCACGCGACTTCATCCCAAGCCAATCGCTCGTTTGCTAACAATCCTCACTTTCCGTTACCCGATTCATGTGTTCAACAACCTGGCTGCGATGCCGGTTGCGCCGCGGACCAAGGACTTCAACCTATGGCTCTACCTTGTCCCCGATCCTCGTTCCGTCTGGCGTAGTTCAACGTTCGGACACTCATGCAGATTGGACAGCAACCCGGTTTAGGGCGCACCCTAGAGTCCCTAGACATTGATGTCTGCTGCCTTTCAAAAACCCGGTTACAAGACCACAGCACTGTGCTTATACTGACATCTCCCAGTGACCACGAAGCCAGATATCATCTCCGTCTTTCTGGAGATCCAGAAGCAGCCTCAGTGGGTTTGGCTGGTGTAGGTATAGCACTAAGTGACAAGGCCGAGACGGCAGTACTTGACTGGTTCCTGCTTAACAGCCGACTATGTGCAGTTCGACTTCGGGGCTCATGTAGGATCAACAAGCGCCGAGAAGTGAGACGCAACTTGCTTGTGATCTCCGTGTACGCTCCAGCCGACTGCATTAGCGACTCGGTCAAGGACGAATTCTACCGGGATCTACATCAGCTCTTATCTAATGCTAAAATGGTCGGATGTCGTTAGCCTTACTGGAGGTGTTAATGCACGGGTTGGCCGCCTGTTACCATACGAACGCCACCTTGGTGGTCACCACGCGCTTGATGAGAACCGCTCTGATAACGCGGAACGGCTTCTTACATGGTGCGAAGAAAACCGTCTGTTTCTCTGGAGCACTAACTTCAGGCATACGAAGAAGCGTTTGGCAACGTGGCGTCCCCCGTCGCCAACACATCCCTGGTCTCAACTCGATCACATTGCAATTAGTTTCAGATGGCGCGGCAGCTTAATGGACTGCAGGTCCCTTTGATCCACCTTCGTTGACTCAGATCATGCTCTGGTCTGCACGAAAATCTGTATGTGTTTTGGAGGGTCCCGAAACACAAAGCACCGCAAGACTGATGTAAACAGATTAACTGATCCCTCTGTCCAGGCGAGTTATTAGTTTTTACTGGCATGCGCACTCAGTTGCAATTCCCCGCAAGAGGTGGAACAACACTGGACTTGTATACGGAAAGCGATGACCATTTCCGGACAGTCAAGCTGTGACTTAACTCGACGCCCCCTAATGTCTTGGATCTCTGTTCGTTCCCTGGAGCTGTTCGAACGCCGCAAAGATGTGCCGGTGGAATCAGCTTGCAACGAGCGGCACCGTTCTGCCAACAGGCTGCTTAAGCAAAGCCTACGCAAGGATCGCGAGACATGGTCGTCTGCGCGTGCTTTAGAGATGGAGACCACTGTCCTCTCTGGCAACATTCGCAGGCTTTTCCAACTCATTCGGTCCACTGGCCTCAGGAAGCCTGGTGTCAGTGAGGTCATTTGTGAGGTGGATGAGTCTCGGATTACCAACCAACAGAGGCGTATGGACCGCTGGGCCGAGCACTTTTACTTGCAGTTTAACGAGCCTCCACCATCCATCAGTACATACAGTACACCTTGTTGTCCACCCTGGCTCGTCCCACTGAATCCACCCAGCGAAGCGGAAGTCTGCCTCGAGATTCGACGCTTGAAGCGGTTCAAGGCTGCCGTCTCAGACGGACTTCTTCCAGAGCTGTTAGAGTACGGCGGTGTGGCGATCACTAACCAACTGGCCGCGCTGTTCGCAAAAATCTGGTGTGAAGTGAAAGTGCCTTCCCCTTGGGGCGAATCAGTTATTGTCCCAATTTTCAAGAAAGGCGCTCGCACTTCAAGTGCAAATCATCACGGGATTAGTCTTATTTCGGTTGCCTCTAAGCTACTGGCATCCATTCTGCTTCGCAGATTATCCCCAGTAAGTGAATCATACTACCGTGAAGAACAAGCTGGTTTCCGTCCTGGCCGCAAATGCGTGGATCAAATCTTCACGCTCCGCCAGCTCCTCGAACATTGCCACATTTATCATAGGCCCACTATCGCTGCATTCCTAAACCTACATGCCGCTTTTGACTCCGTTGATCGACCTACTTAATGTCGTTGCGTGCTAAAGAACGGGGTGCCAGAGAAATATACCGCCATCTTACGAGCACTTTACCTTCATACATCCGGCAGAATGAGGGTCTCTGGCAAGCTTTCCTCACAATTCGCTGTCAATAGCGGTGTGCGACAGGACGGCCCAATGTACCAATTCCTCTTCAACTTCGCAATCGAAGACGTTCTGTCGAATGCTCTAGAATGTTTCCAACATTTGCCGTAGAACTTCTACCGGGTGAGCTCGCGACCGACTTAGATTATGCTGGATATCACTTTACTTGGTGATGATCCACAGGGAACGCAACTCATTCTGGATCGTTTGGCGGTTGACGCATCTAACTATGGCATGAGCTTCGCCCCATGGAAGTGTAAAGTACTGCTCAAGGATTGGCTTTCACCTGCTCCCGTGCTCAATCTTGAAGGTGCACAATTTGAACAGGTAAATAGTTTCGTCTACCTTGGGAGCTGTGTTTTTGCTGACAGCACCAACAGCAAAGAAGTTTCTCTTCGCATCGCTAAAGTTCGATCAGCACATGTGGCGACGTCGCGACGTCTCATTCTCGCTAAAGGGCCGCGTTTACAACGCAACAATTCGCTCATTATTGTCGTATGGGTGCGAGTCCTGGCCGATTCGCGTGGATGACATGCGTCGTCTTTCTGCCTTCGATAACGGTTGCTTAAGGAGGATTGCTCGTGTTTGGTGGTAACATCGAGTTAATATTAATGATGTTCGACGTCGCATCTAGGGGAATGCGAGTATTCCCTTCAACAAACTGGTTTTGTTGAGCCAACTGTGATGGCTCGGTCAAGTCTTACGCATGGCACCTGAGTGTCTACCGCGTCGCGCTCTATTCGCTCATCAAGGACCTGGCTGGCGGCGACTGCGTGGTGGTCAGCCTCCTACATGGAGGCAGCACATGAAATCGCTGAGGTCTTGTCTAGCCGCTGTTGGACCCGTAAGTCTTCCAGGATGGGGACCCAAAGATGAGGGGTGCCAATGGCTTAACACTCTTGAAGACATGGCCCGCAACCGGAATCAGTGGAAGAATTGTGTACATTATTGTGTTGATTTACCTGTTTAATACTTCAACCACTGAAAATGACAAAAAAAGCGAAAAATGGGTGCGTGAAAGACTAACTAAAAATGTTTTGTTCTACTTTTCATCAAAATCTTCTTTCGTGCGGCATATTAGCTGAAGCGTGTTGTTCACCTTCAACTACTATGCTACGATGATTTTGACTCGATGACTCTCCCTTATCCTCTGATCTCCATGGTTTTCTACTGGCTCTATGTCTAGTTGTTAGACTGCTGAGATCACACACACACACACACATAAGCATTTACGCCCACAAAATTGTTGAATAAATTTGGACAATGTATCTAGGTCTGACTGTCACCATAGTTGCATAGCCTAATCACCTTGGAGAAAATGGTGAGTAGCTAGATAACAAGTGTGTGACGTAATTACGATGAACAAGGGGAACGCGATTGGAACGATGACAGTAATGAGATACTGTTTCATTATCCAAGTGAATTTGTGTGAATCTACTGGAACGAGAGAAAATCAGTCCAATCTGAAAAAAAAACATCGAAAGCGGACTGATCTTTAAAACCCAATGATGGAAATGCACGGGCAAATCGCACCCCCTTGATCAGGTTGTAATCGCAAACAAATTACCAGAAAAATCAGAAGAAAAATTTTACTTTGAATAATAACAACAAACTAATAAGCTGCACCGTCTTCAATTATGGCGTAGTTCGGCTTTTATTCTCAGACACTGATCCTCACATAATCGATGTGATTTGAACTAACTGGGTCATGCTTAACTGTTTTGCTCCTGTAAATTATGGCAATGGTCTGAAGATGAATCATTGTAAGCAACTGCTTCTCAAACCATCTCTTGTTCTAGAAATATAAATGGGGATTTTCATGTTAGATAGATAGGAATACGCGAAACTGTATTAAACCTGACAGATTAACCTGTCAGTAAACTGAGATGAGAACTTCGCAGTAAACGGGATAGCTCGCGCAAATTCTAACGATAATACTAGAGTAATTCATTACTCAAATGTGATCTACTTCGAGAGCATAATGTGCTTTCTTCCTGGAGCCCATCTGGAACGCCACGGTGGTTAGAATACCACGATCGGAAAAATATGGCGTCTCTCCAATATCCCACAGCATAAACGCGCCTGTTCCATAGGTCACTTTCACTGTGGGTTCAAACGAAACGCCCACGGACAAGTCCCACGTTTGTGCAACCAATGAAGCCTGTTGGTCTCCGAGAATGCCACAAATCCTCATATCCTTTAGGTTACAACGCGGATCAGAGACGATACCGACAACTTCGGCTGATGCCTTCACTTGAGGTAGAATTTGCGCGTCAATATCAAAAAACCTGTTGTGAAGTAAACCGATTAGGTACAAATTAAATACGGGTTTATTAACTGATGCAAACGGAGAAGCTGAGCTATGTTTCACAAAGGTTACACACTACTCCTTATTCCAGGTACGCATTTGTGTATACATTTACTGACTGGCTTCAGCATGAATTTATCCACATGATTATACAATGTTTTAGGAAAACTGCCTTATCACGTTAACTTATCACATAGGTTGTTTGGACTTCAAAAGGTTCTAAAAATAACAGCAGGTAATAAAACAAACCTTTGGATTCTAGTTATTACTCCCACTTTTATTGTGAGAATCGGCTCAAACCAGTGGCTAGCAAGCTGTTGGGTGTAGTGAAACCCGGAGTATATCAGTCTGACAGCTGTTTCCCACATCAGCGTAACCGCCACTGTTCGCTGCTTGTCATATCTTGTATTGACTGAATCATAGCCGTTTCAAGGCCACTGTGTAGCGCCCTGTGCTTATCAGTTTGGCAGAGCAACACGTTTACTTTGCTCAGTTTGACGAAATATACTATGGGAATCATGGTTTGGTGTAGGACCTGTCCCAAGTCGCTTGGTAAACAACAGCAATTACTTGCTTAACTGCAAGGAAGTCTAGAGATATATACACGATGGAATATTTCCACAAAGCTAGCAAGCGGAATTGGTATCACAGCTCATGGATACCACATACGGGGACTTAAAATGCTCTTCACGGCATAATCAGAGGTCGGTTCATCGCCGTCAGCTCTCGGCTAGAGAAGCCCGCATAATTCCGGGATTAGACTAGACGAGGGATTCATTTTCTTAAGGAACATCATTACTTTATGTATGACTAAACCTAGAACATCTTATTAAAGCTTCTCCTTCCTTGTTTGCTTACGTAATTAACGTGATTCCGTGGCTATTTGACACCGGCTGAAAGCAATTTTAGTCACCTGTGTGGTGTTGTGTGCAGCTAGTTAGTTAATTTTAAGTTAATTCCTTTAAATGCGTTCCCTTCTACCCAAGGAATTGCCCTATGTGGTGATAAGTTATAGTACCTAATGGTTTTATGTATCTAAATCACTCACTGCCGTTGAGTAAGTTCAGCGGCAACCGTTTCCAAGTCTTTCAGTTCTGTGACCGCGAGAAAGCTGTCGCACCTACATCTTCAATTAGACAAACCAAATCGGACGGGAACTAGGAGGCAAAACAATAGAACGCATGTAGACAGGAGCCAAGATTTTGCTGGATCCGACTCGCACCCTAATGTTCACATTTTGGTCGGAGGCGCAGACAGAGCGGTGACTGAGTTACAACCCATTTCTCTCTTTAACCCTAACACTACCATGGGAATCGCACCCTGTTGTTTCCGGCGATGATTACTCGATTCCTGAACCATGTAATCGAGGTAATGGCGTCGGACAGGCAGACATTTTGTCTGCCGTAGCATCAAGAGAAACTAGGCAGACAAATTTACCCAGCTATATGTGTGGGCCTCACGGCACTCATTCAGAGGCATACTAAACTGATTCGTGCAACACATGTTGTCCGCGGAGTCTTCAGCACCAGGGCAACGGGAGTACGAGAACTGTGTAACAGAGCGGTGTATATACTAGTGTGGGCTAAAGTACGCAATTAGTGGTATAACTGTGATGGCTACTAGGGACCCACTAACAACATGTGTTCCTCTCCAGCCAAATTATTGCTATGAGTTACTGTCCAGAATGAAACTACCGGTCAAATTCCCATTGAGCTATAAACAAAGGGCGTTATCAGATATCTTATCCACTCGCCCCATCGTCATACCAAAACGGTACCTATGAGAAGTCCTCCCCTAGTTCAACTTTTTGCCAAATATCCGTTCAACTCATCACAGTCTGCCTCAGTGAGACGGAAGTCAGACGCCCAGAAAAACACTTGATGTCCCTAGAAGGCTTTCGGAAACCACCCGCAGTATGTGTTATATCTATTGCTCTTATAGCTGGAACTCGCACCCCAACCTTACGAATCGATGTTTAAGACCAATGAGTCATAACGGACAGGAATGCCAGACAATTTATGTACAGCGGTGTCGTAAAAGTCGCTGGAGAGGGAGACGTTCTGTATGTTACATCAAGCCACTTGATCTGGTCAATTGTTGTTGTCCACTGTTCTTGGTGATGCGCTCATAACGCTAGCAGCCCAACTTCCAACCTCCCATGTGACCGTGCTCTACTCAGTGCTGACAGTTGCCGATAGAATGACTTGGCAGTCAAGTGCTATTTCAAACCTCCAACGGCCGTCTGATTGAGTCGATTTGTGATGATTTCAACAGTTTCATCATGAAAGTGCACGCGAAGGAAGCGCACACGAAACGTGCGGACAGCATAAAGTGCACGGACCTAAAAGCGGATACGAAGAATGCGGACACGGAATATTACGCACACTAAAAATGAACACATATTATCAGTCTGGTCTCACTGACACAATTGTCCATATTATCTATTCGTGACACGTACAAGATTCAATATTTTTCCTATGCCTTCAAAAGTAGCAACTTGTGACAATGAGGGCATTCACACGCAAGGTGCTGTTAGTTCGATCGCTCGGAACGTATCGTACTGCGCAGTGTCGCAAAACTATCTACAGAACTACACAGACTAAGCATCGCTCGTCTAATGCAGTCAGTCGAGGTCTCAACGTATAGGCGGCTGAAACACACTGTGTGTCAGCAGGCCGAGTTAACGTTCTGCCTTCCCTCGCCATCCATTTGAAGATACTGAAATCGAAGTCGACTATTTTCACCTAAGCCAAAGCCTCATACTGAACGTCAGCAACGTGAGTTTACGGACTTGCTTTAAAATCAATGTCAGCCGAAAACTCAAACTCAGGCCGTTGGCTGCACTGACCATTGTCGCGGTCGTTAACATAAGTGGAGTATTTGATGAGCTTTGCGCTACATTTCCAAGTGAAGAATCATGTAATAAGCTGCTCAGACACCTCTGCACGTACGGTTGCAAAACAATCGAGGGCAGTCAGTTTACTTTACTTAATACTCATATTAGGAATTCACGTCGCAAAAATCGAGCTGCTGGACGGTCTATGTGTTTGTGATCAGGAAACATAAAGACATCTCTGCGTTACCGGAATGAACGTCACCTCACAACCACTTATACGTTGCATCCGAGGGAACAACTGGACACATCTCCAACACTTGGGCAAGCTATCGATTGGGCTGCCTTTCTCTGCTCCATCACCTAGCTCACCAAGATACAGTGTATGAAGTTGCTTCAAGCAAACTAGACATAAGCACGATTGTTTGAAATGTGATACGTATTTCATAGCAGACTACTTTTTAAGCTCTGGCTCAAGGCAGCATCATCCAAACAACCAACAGACCCGGCAAACTGAGTCGCACCTCGCGAGGGAAACTATGCAGATGGTATCACACAGCCATCCCGAAAAATTGGCGGCCACGTCTATTCCTTAAGCACGAGATTGTTCAGGACACGAACGGTCGCCAACATAAGACAGGAAAACAATAACAACCGAGCTCTCAGTGGTCTGCGCAACCTCATATTCAGTTCACATGTTCTCCTACTCACTACTGATATCAGAGGTATCATACGCGTGGGAGCTCAACAATAAGGCTGAAACCTGATTCCGCGCACAAATTACCAAAGACAAAGTCGCGATGAAGTGGATGCCCCTTATTCACAAATATGGAAACCGGAAATGGACTACTTACAGGCTGTCAGTACCACCAATTCTCCACGTGAATTTGCAACTGCTAATTGGTAGGTAAAGGTATGTTTGCGGCCGCATTTGTGACGATGTCGTTCGTTCATCCGAAAAGTCTCTTGATTCTGTGACGAAAAACTGACAAGCGACCAGTTTACTTGGTATCTGGCAAGTACTCAGGTAATTGCACAACCAGTTATCCCGTAGCACCATGGTTTTAATTTGAGTCCGAAATGAGGGACGATATGGAAAGCCACCGAAATGCTTACAAACCCTTGTGCAGCAGCGACGCGCGCTGATACTCCCAAAACTCTAGTACGCACGAATCACCAGTGTCGTTTGAAACTGTACGCAAAAATTACGAGTGACTATTCAAGCGCGGATCTGGACCGCGTTTTCAACAATGAAATGCACACGGGGAAAATTGCCTACTTAAGCAAGGCGAGAAGGACCTAATCAGTCGGACAAAAGATTTCAAGTTGAAGGAGACGGAACGTAGGTTGAAATATAATGGTACAGGATTTGTTCGTGCGAGTACAATATTCCCTTGAGCGCAAATAGCTTAACGCTACGTCTAACACCGGCAAGAACAACTAGGATAATTGGAGGGTCAAGTTTGGATTACACGTTGTGTGATTGGATTGCGACACGCAACCTCAATTTTAATGGACTGTGATTCACATGGAAATGAACCTTAGTCACTGCGATCGCTGGGACCGTATTCAAAGTAGATGGATATTGGGTATTGCCCACCCGAAAACACTGCACAGCCACGACGCGTTTCGATGTAATTTTCATCTCATCAGGTGGAGACAGCAGGATTTGAACCCAGGACCATTGGAATAGCAGCCAACACTACTACCCCTTTGGCTACCGGGTCACGATGGGCAACGCTTTTTGTCACAACGGTAGATGACTAATTGGAGGGTCAAGTTTGGATTACACGTTGTGTGATTGGATTGCGACACGCAACCTCAATCACAGTCCATTAAATTGAGGTTGCGTGTCGCAATCCAATCACACAACGTGTAATCCAAACTTGACCCTCCAATTAGTCATCTACCGTTGTGTCAAAAAGCGTTGTCCATCGTGACCCGGTAGCCAAAGGGGTAGTAGTGTTGGCTGCTATTCCAATTGTCCAGGTTTCAAATCCTGCTGTCTCCACCTGATGAGATGAAAATTACATCGAAACGCGTCGTGGCTGTGCAGTATTTTCGGGTGGCCAATACCCAATATCCATCTACTTTGAATACCGTCCCAGCGATCGCAGTGACTAAGGTTCATTTCCATGTGAATCACA